TTCTTCTATGTTTAAATCTTTTCTTGAGTTCTTATAATAGTGGTCTCATACAATATTTGTCCTTTTGCGACTGACTAATTTCACACAGCATAATGCCTTCCAGACTCATCCACGTTATGAGATGTTTCTTGGATTCATTGTTGTTCTTTATCATTGCGTAGTATTTCATTGTGTGACTATACCATAACATCCTTTGATTTCTTAACTGCTGCTTCCTTGGGCATTAATTGTGGATCCAAGTAAAATGAAATCCTTCAGTCTTTTCTCTGTTTATCATGATGTTGCTTATTGGTCCAGTTGTGATGATTTTTGTTTTCTTTATGTTGAGGTGTAATCCATACTGAAGGCAGTAGTCTTTGATCTTTGTCAGTAAGTTCTTCAAGTCCTCTTCACTTTGAGCAAGCAAGATAGTGTCATCTGCATATTATAGGTTTTTAATGAGTCTTCTCCAATCCTGATACTGCGTTCTTCATATATTCCAGCTTCTCAGATTATTTGCTCAGCATACAGATTGAATAACTATGGTGAAAGGATACAACCCTGACTTTAAACCACACGGTATCCCCTTGTTCTGTTCAAATGACTGCCTCGTGGTCTGTGTATAGGTTCCACATGAGTACAATTAAGTGTTCTGGAATTCCCATTCTTCACAATGTTGTCCATAATTCGTTATGATCCACACAGTCAAATGCCTTTGCATAGTCAATAAAACGCAGGTAAACATCCTTCTGGTTTTCTCTGCTTTCAGCCAAGATCCATCTGACATCAGCAGTGATATCGCTTGTTCCATGTCCTCTTCTGAACCCGGCTTGAACTTCTGGCAGTTCCTGTCGACGTACTGCTGCAACTGCTTTTGAATGATCTTCAGCAAAATTTTACTTGTGTTTGATATTAATGATATTGTTCGATAATTTCCACATTCTGTTGGATCACCTTTCTTTGGAATGGGCACAAATATGGGCCTCTTCTAGTTGATTGGCCAGGAAGCTGTCTTCCAAATTTCTTGACATAGACTAGTGAGCACCTCCAGTGTCACATCCATTTGTTGAAACAACTCAGATGGTATTCCGTCAGTTCCTGGAGCCTTGTTTTTCGCCATTCCCTTCAGTGCAGTTTGGACCTCTTCCTACAGTACCGTCGGTTCTTGATCATGTTTTATTTCCTGAAAGGGTTGAACGTCAACCAATTCTTTTTGGTATAGTGACTCTGTGTATTCCTTCCATCTTCTTTTGATGCTTCCTGCATCGTTCAGTATTTTCCCTGTAAAATCCTTCAATATTGCAACTGAAGCTTGGATTTTTTCTTCACTTCTTTCAGTGTGAGAAATGCCGAGCATGCTCTTTCCTTTTGGTTTTCTAACTCCAGGTCTTTGCACATTTCATTATAATACTTTACTTTGTCTTCTCAAGCCACCCTTTGAAATCTTTTGTTCAGCTCTTTTACTTCATCATTTTTTCCTTTCACTTCAGCTACTCGATGTTCAAGAGCAAATTTCAGAGTCCCTTCTGACATCCATTTTGGTCTTTTCTTTCTTTCCTATCTTTTAATGACCTCTTGCTTTCTTCATGTATGATGTCCTTGATGTCTGGTCTTCAGTCATTAGTGTTCAATGAGTCAAATCTATTCTTGAGATGATCTGTAAATTCAGGTGGGATATACTCAGGTTCGTATTTTGGCTTTTGTGGATTTGCTCTAATTTTCTTCAGCTTCAGCTTGAACTTGCATATGAGCAATTGATGGTCTGTTCCGCAGTCCGCCCCTGGCCTTTTTCTAACTGATAATATTGAGCTTCTCCATCATCTCTTTCCACAGATGTAGTCGATTTGATTCCTGTGTATTCCATCTGGCGAGGTCCATGTGTATCGTCGCCATTTATGTTGTTGAAAAAAGGTGTTTGCAATGAATAAGTCGTTGATCTTACAAAATTCTATCATGAGATCTCCAGCATCATTTTTACCACCAAGGCCTTCTTTGTTTCCAGCTTTCACGTTCCAATCACCAGTAATTATCAATGCATCTTGATTGAATGTTCGATCAATTTCAGACTGCAGAAGTTGGTAAAAATCTTCAATTTCCTCATCTTTGGCCTTAGTGGTTGGTGAGTAAATTTGAATAATAGTCATACTAACTGGTCTTCCTTGTAGGCATATGGATATTATCCTACCACTGACAGTGTTGTACTTCAGGATAAATCTTGAAATGTTCTCTTTGACGATGAATGTGACACCATTCCTCTTCAATTTGTCATTGCTGGCATAGTAGACCATATGATTTTGCTTGTCATACATGTATTTAAAGAGTTTGCTGACTCACCCAGCAAGTACTTGGAGAGCGTTTCTGGGTGCCATACTGTGTACTAGGTGTGGGATTTATAAAGATGATTTGGGCACAGTCCCTGCCCTTGTGGAATCCACTGCTGGGGAAGTAAAGACTCTTACAAAACTAACTGTAAAAGCGGCATGTCTCCTAGAAGCAACCAACTGCCCTCACGTCAACCCTGATTCATGGCGCCCTCATGTGTATCAGAGTAGAACTGTGCTCCATGGGATTTTCAGTGACTGATTTTTCAGAAGTAGATCTCCAGGCCTTTCTTTCAAGATGTCTCTGGGTGGACTCGAACCTCCAATCTTTTGGTTAGCAGTAGAACACGTTAACCCTTTGTACCACCCAACTCCTATAATAGCCCTTATCTAAAGGAGACCTCCCAGCGCTCCCCCTTCACTTGCCCTGTGTTGTTTTTTCCACAGTGCTTGTCACTGTAGAGATTATTGACTGAGAGTATTGACCTGTCTCTCACCTTCCCTCTTACAGTAAGCAGTGCGAGAGCAAAGACCAGGGCTTTATACCTTGGCCTCTATCAGCCACTGGCCGGGGGAGCCCAGCAAGGGCATGAGGGAAGCTCTCTGCAGCCACGACATTCCCTGAGGGGGCTGACAGCTGAAGGCTAGCAATCCACAGTGCCTCAACATCTGGGCAGATACTCAGGGAGGGCCTGGGCAGCTGCTGCAGTTCTCAAACCTTAATGTGGATCAGAATCCCCTGAAGGGCTACTTAAAACAGACTGCTAGGCCCCACTCCAGACTTTCTGATTCGGTAGGTCCAGGGTAGGACCTGAGAATTTAAGTTCCCAGGTGATGCTGATGCTGTGGGTTCCTGTACCATACTTCGAGAACCACAGAGGTAGTACATCTGTGTGGCCATCACAACTTACCTAGTGGATAGGTGGAGGGTGGACGGGATGACAGAGGGGCAAGGAGACTTCATAGATGCAATGACAGTGACCCAGGTGACAGAAGATGGGGCTCTAAAACAGTATCACAGCAGTGGGTGTGGAAAAGAGAAAGGGGAATCCAGACACATGTGACATTGGAGTCAATGGGCTTGGTGAGAGGTTGGATGTGGGAGGAGAGGGAGGAGTCAGAGCCCGCTGGGTGGATGGAAATGCCATGAAATGATGTACATGGGGAAGACGGGTTTGTGCTGGGTAGTGGGGAATTGTATGACACCTTTTGGACATGGTGGGCTTGAGATTCTATGGTGACTTTCATATGGAAACGTTAAAGAGGCCGTCAGAAACACAATTCAAAACTGAAGAGAGAAATCTGAGCTGCAGATACAGATTTTGGAGTTGTTGGGATATGGATGTAAGCAGAAGCTGTGGGACTAAATGAGATTAGTTAAGGACAGCTCATTAAATAGAGAGCTTGGTGATAAGCCCAGAAGGAAGCCAAGAAGCCCCTGTCTTGGAGGGCTGGGTAGAGAAAGCGATGAGTGTCATCTTCCCAGATGCATAAAGTGAAGGGGAAGAGGGTATCACCAAGGAGGGGCAATGCCAGATGTAGAAGCATCTAGAAAATGGAGCCAAACATCTGACCAATTCTGGGGACCCCCTCAAAGGAACCAAGCCCCAGAGGACGGGGTGTATTTGAGGCATGAATTAGGGAAACTAGTCTACATATGTTGAGGTTGGTTTTTGGACTCCTTGTTTTACTTTGCCTGCACAGGTATGGTTTTCTGTTGCCTTGGGGTAAAGTGGCTTTATGGTTCTCACACCATAAATGATGAACAGAAAGAAGTACGTGGCTTACACATACATGGGGTGCAATAGCCATCGATGACAGCAGAGCTCTCTGAGAGGAAGCCTATGGTGAACAACATGGTAGATCAAGATGAAGCTAGGATCATTGTTTGCTCCCTTCATGCTAAGCTCTGTAGTCCCTGGGTGGTACAAATGGTTAATGCACTCAGGTGCTAACCGAAAAGTTAGAGGTTTGGCACCTCGGAAGAAAGGCCAGGCTATCTACTTTCATTCTACCTTGATACACATGGGGTTGCCATGAGTCAGAATTGACTTCATGGCAACTGGTGGTTTAAGCTAAACTCCAGGGAGAAAAGAGACCATGTATTCATCTTTGGGGCCCTGGTGGCACAGTGGTTAAGAGCTCAGGCTGCTAATCAAAAGGTTGGCAGTTCAAATCCACCAGCCACTCCTTGGAAACCCTGTGGGGCAGTTCTACTCTGTCCTATAGGGTTGCTATGAGTCAGAATCAACTCGATGACAGTGGGTTTTTCTTTTTTGGGGGTGGTGGTGGTGTATTCATCTTTTTTCCCTTTAGATTTGATTCTGATCTCGGTCCTTCTGGGATCTTGAATCCACTGGTTTTACGAGGATAAAAAGGATTCTGACCACTCTTTTTGAGTTGTCCATCTCTTGCCCCCCTCTGTTTGGTCAAGAATGCTACAAAGAACGCATTTCTGTGAACTGAGAGTCCGCAGATGATAACTCTGCATTTCATAGCTGGACAGTTTACTTTGTAGTCTGAGCTGTTTGTTTTGTTGTCTGGGTCCGCTCAAGCCCTGGGTTTTGGGAAGACGGGGATGGAGTTCTATAAGTCTCTGAATACGAACAATGAGCCCAAATCACGCAGTTTTTCAATTTCTCAAGCTGCCATCAGCTAGGACAGGCGGGAACACACGCTGACTTGCGTCTGTCTTTGCAGTTCTGTGCAGAGCTCAACCAGCCAATCCTGCCCAACGTCCGCAAGTGGAAGGGGCCCCGGGGAAGCTGGAAAGCCATTGTTGCTGAGAAACCCTCCTGTCAGCTCCAGAAGGTACCACCAAAGGCAAAACTGGGCCTTTTCTTTTCATTGTATTTAAACATGCTTTCTCCCGAATCAAGGGCATTTTAAAGTGTACTTTGCCAGTATCCTTGATGCAATTTTGTGTTCCTGCCCATTTTCTTTAAATAGTTGCTATTTATTTCAAAACCCCGCTTCTTGTGTGGTGTTTAGATTGGGAATGGACTGCTGCCCAGACAGAAATGAGAGCTTGGGGTGTTGGGAGGAGAGGAGATATCCAGTCTGGGGACCAGGCAGCAAATGGGATATTTTTGTCCTTTGTCTCTACAATCCCATTGTCACCGTTCTGTCTTCTGCCAAGTTTGTCGAGTGCCCATTGTTCATTGATTGAAAACTTCAAGTACACCTTAATTCATACATAAAGTATTTGCTAAATTTGCTCACAGGAATTGTCTTAGTTATCTAGTGCTGCCGTAACAGAAATACCACAAGTGAATGCCTTTAACAAACAGAAATTTATTCTCTCACAGTCTAGGAGGCTAGAAGTCCGAATTTAGGGCGCCAGCTCCAGGGGAAGGCTTTCTCTATCTGTCAGCTCTGGGGGAAGGTCCTTGTCCTCAATCTTCCCCAGTCCAGGAGCTTCTCAGTGCAGGGACTCCGAGTCCAAAGGACACGCTATTCTTCTGGCTCTTGTTTCTTGGCGGTATAAGGTCCCCATGTCTCTCTGCTGGCCTCTCTTTTTATATCTCAAAAGAAATTGACTCAAGATACAATCTAATCTTGTAGATTGAGTCCTCCCTCATTAACGTAACTGCCTCTAATCCTGCCTCATTGATATCATAGAGGTAGGATTTACAGCACATAGGAAAATCACATCAGATGACAAAATGTTGGACAGTCACACGGTACTGGGAATCATGGCCTAGCCAAATTGACACACATTTTGGGGGGACACAATTCAATCCATAACAGGAATGATCTGTTGAAATTTTCAGCAGATTTTGATTTGGAATTTTCTCTTGTCAGTATCACCCATACAGATGTGGGTAACTCTGTATGTGATACATTTTCACTCCTACACACCATATTCAAGACCCATTTTTACTCACCTTGGAATCTGCAATGTCAGTGAGGTTTGAGATTTAAAAAATAAATACTCCTGATAGTTAATCATGAGTTAAAAAAATCATTATAGAGTTTTCCTGTAAATGCGGATGTTATGTGTTTATCTCCATTATACCTAATACACATGCGCTGTACTTGTGTATGTGGCTGATATTGATCAATGGGGCTTTTAAGTCATAAATATATACTGGATTAAAAGTATCTAGTCATTTATTGGCAATAGCCCCCACTCTTTTCATAAGCTGTTATTGTTGTCAGCTGCCATCGAGTCGAGTCCAACACATAGCAACCCTCTGCACAACAGAATGAAATCATGCCCGGTCCTGTGCCATCCTCACAATCATTGCTGTTTGAGCCCATTGTTGTTTAAAAATGTGCATGTGAATTTTATTTCCTGTTGTGTTAATTTCTTAGGGCTGCCATAACAAATCACAACACATCGGGCAGCTTACAAGAACAGAAATTATTCTCTCACAGTTCCCGAAGCTGGAAATCCAAAATCAGGGTGTCAGCAGTGTTAACTCCTGCTGAGGCTCAGAGGAGAATCTGTTCTCTGCCTCTCTCCTAGCTTCTGGTGGCTCCTGGCAGTCCTTGAGGTTCCTTGGCTGGCAGCCGCATCACACCCGTTTCTGCCTCTACTGTCACATGGCTGTCTTCCCTCTCTGTCTCTCTCTGTCTCTCTTTCCTCTTCTAGAAAGACACCACTTATTGGATTAGGACCCACCCTACTCCAGTATGACCTCATGTTAACTGTTACTGCTTTCAAAGACTGTATTTGCAAACAAGGTCTCACAGATACCAGAGGTTAGGACTTCAACATATCTTTTGGGGGGATACAATTCAGTCTGTAACATCTGGGTTTTTTGTTTTGGACTGTTTCACAATTATTTGTAAATGGTTACTGCATCTGACAGTCGCTATGCAATCCCAGTAGACTGGGATTAAAGCTGTCTTAGAATATAGAGAGTTTTTACAGGGAGTCCCTGGGTAGTGCAAATGGTTAGTGTGCTCAGCTACTAATGGAAAGGTTGGTGGTTCAAGTCCACCCAGAGGCACTTGAGAAGAAAGACCTGGCAATTTACTTCTGAAAAATCAGCCACTGAAAACCCTATAGAGTAGTTCTACTCTGACACACATGAGGTTGCCTTAAGTCAAATTGATTCTATGGCAATTGGTTAGTCCAATTTTACAACTCTAGACCATAGCTCTCCCTCCTCAGTCCACATAGAAATAATAATATCACCTTGCTTTTTTTTTTTAATAGCACTTTATATGTAGGTGCCTCAGCATTCACAAAGCTTTTATAGTCCATTCAACGCACTTGATCCATTCATTCAACAAATAATTACTAGAGGGTGCTACATGCCAGACACTGTGTTATGAGCCCAATACACATTGGTGAGAAAAACAAACCCAGTGACCCAACCCTGCTCCAATTTTTACTCTTTTCAAGCCCCAGTGAGGATTCCAACCTGAGCCAGACCTAGCCCCTTCCCTCAAGGAACTCACAACCTGTTACAGGGACAAGACAGGTAACCTTACTCAAGTTTAAGCCATTTAAACTTCTCAGCCTCAGCTCCTTCATCTGCAAGACGGGAGCAATAGCTCAGCTGCTAACCGAAAAGTTGGTGGTTTAAACCCACCCAGCGGCTCTGTGGGAGGAAGGACCTGGCGATCTGCTCCTGTAAAGATTTCAGCCTAGGAAACCCTATGGAGCAGTTCTTCTCTGTCCTATAGGGTCGCTATGAGTCAGAATCCACCCAAAGGCACACAACGACAACAGCCCCGTCTTCAGCTCCCCTGATGGCTGGAAGGATTTTAAAAGACAACGCGTGCTGAAATTTTCCATTAACAGAGCACAGCCCAGGGCCCGGCAGATTGTACAGAGAAGCAGGCCAGGCTGGATTGTGTCGAGCTGGGAGCTCACACCTGCGCCAAGCTGCAGTAGGCCCAGGTATAGCCAGTGTTAACAGGTAGGATTGTGGGCCCTGTGTGGCCAAATCTTCCAGTTTCTCAAGAAAAGCAAATATTGAGATTCTAATGTGTGATTGCCTGCATTTTAAATATAGGCAGATTATCTAAAAATGTTTTCAAACACCATATATCTGCAGATCACTAATGTTCAGACTCTACTTTAGCCAGACATGAGAAAATGATAGCAGTGGCTGCCGTTTCTCAGATGCCTGAAATGATGTCCAAACCAAAAAAAAAAAAAACCAAACCCACTGCCGTAGATTCCGATTCACAGTGACCCTATAGGACTGGGCAGAGCTGCCCCATAGTGTTTCTGAGGCTGTAAATCTTTACAGAAGCAGACTGCCACATCTTTCTCCCACAGAGCAGCTGGTGGGTTCGAACCGCTGACCTTCTGGTTAGCAGCTGAGCGCTTTAACCACTGTGCTACCAGTGCTCCTCAAAATGATGCCCAGGCACCTGTAATTCAAATCTCTAGTCCTTACACCATTGCTGAGGGGATATTTTTACAAATAAGAACATTGAGACCTAGTAAGATGAAATGTTTGTCCAGAAGTCACCCAGCTGATGAGAGGTGGGGCTTGGACTTGAACCTAGGTAGCTCTGTCTGGCTTTAAAGTCTACGCTTCCCTCACTGCCTCATACTGAGGTCTAGATGTTCTGGTGGAAGAGAGGGAGGGGTCCGCCTAAGTGGGGGTGGGGGGCTATTGGGAAAGAGTCCCCTAAGGATAGTAAGAAACCAGTGGTGGAAGGAGCAGCTTGCACAGAAGTGTGGAAACACGAAAGCCCAGTCCTGCTGGGGACACGTGTGAGCAGGTATGTAAGGCGCTGTGGGAGAGGAAGGTGCTGCCCCTACCCTGGAGGGCTCCTCATTCAGTGGACGTCAGGGAGCCACCGAAGGTTTGTGAGCAGGAGGTGACCTGAGTGACACTATAAGAAGGTTAATCTGGTACCACGTTTGGGAAACAGTGAATGGGGGATAGCATTCTAAAGCTGACAGGGCAAATCATATTTACCTTGTTTACACCTGAGGAAACTGAGAGGCTCATCTGAGGTCCTGCGGCTCGGTGACACGAGCATGACTAAGACCCAGGTCTTCTCAGTCTTAACTAGTGCTCAGTCCTAGTCTTAAAATACATTAAAATACTCTTTGTCGTGGATTGAATTGTGTCCCCCCAAAATATCTGTCAACTTGGCTGGGCCATGATTCCCAGTATTGTGTGATTGTCTACCATTTTGTCACCAGATGTGATTTTTCTATGTGTTATGAATTCTGTCTCTGTGATGTTGATGAGACAAGATTAGCAACAGTTATGTTAATGAGGCAAGACTCAACTACGAGATTAGGTTGTGTCTTGAGCCAATGTCTTTTTTAAGATACAAAAGAAAGAAGTGAGGAGGGAGACATGGGGACCTCATACCAGCAAGAAACAAGAGCCAGGAGAATAGCATATCCTTTGGACCTAGGGTCCCTGCGCTGAGAAGCTCCTCGGCTAGGGGAAGATTGGTGACAAGTACCTTCCCCCAGAGCCAACAGAGAGAGAAGGCCTTCCCCTGGAGCTGACACCCTGAAATTGGACTTGTAACCTGCTAGACTGTGAGAGAATAAATTTCTCTTTGGTAAGGCCATCCACTTGTGGTATTTCTGTTATAGCAGCACTAGATGACTAAGACACTCTCCAGTGTTTTTATAACATGGAAGTACACGACATGCCAATCACTGTTCCGGCATTCCTACCCTATTCCTAAATACACACCACAAGCAGTCGAGGTGCCAGGCCCAGCGAGGCTGTGACCCAGCAGAGGCTGGCCAGGGGGATGGCTGTGCAGACCCAGCGTGGAGGAGCAGTGGTGAGCAGTACAGATGGCGCTGCTGTGCCCACCAGGCAACATGGCTGAGTAAGGTTCTCAAGGCCAATAGAGCCTCTTGGGCTAAAATTGGGGTGGGGAGGAAAAGCATTTCCTCTTCCCACGATAAGTCCCCGGGGCAGTGGCACAAAGCAGGCAAATCAGAGTGGCTTCTCTGACTGAAGAGACAGCACCGGGACCGGCCCCACTCACCAGGTGTCTTAGTTACCTGGTGCTGCTGTAACACAAATACCACCAGCAGGTGGCTTCAAAGAACAGAAATTGATTTTCTCACAGTTAGTTCTGGAGGCTAGAAGTCCAAATTCAGGGTCTTGGCCACGTTGGTTCCTTCCTTGGCTCCAGCTCCAGGCATCCTTGGTTCCTTGACGACCCTCACATGGCATCTGCCTTCCTCCATGTGAGTTTCTCTGTGTCTATTCTGGTCTTTTTATAACTAAGACAAGATAAGGTTTAGGTTCTACCCTACACTGGTATGAGACTTTATTTACTAACAAAAGAAAAATTCCAATTTCCAAACAGGATCACAGCCACAGGTACAGGGGCGAGGAATTCAACACATTTTTTTTGTGGGGGGGGGACACAATTCAGTCCACAACATTGGGACTCACAGGGTCCCTGTGGTGCAGCTTAGACCTTGGTGTGGCCCCGTCCACCTGCCAGGGACCTTGACTGCCCAGTTCTAAACCATTGGAATGGTTAGCTCTGACTTTCATTCATCCAGCAAATGTTTACTGAGCATTTACTAGGTACCAGGTGTCAAACCAAGGTCCGAGGTCAAGAAGGACACAGTTCACACAGGCACTGGTTGGAATACTAGAGAACTTTACTCACATAGAGAAGACAGAGCAAAGTCAGCTTCAATAGCGGGCACCAGTCCCCATGGCCAGTGAGTCTCACTCTGCAGCTGATGTAGGGCTGGTGGTCTGCATGCACCCCTCTTATGCTGCAGGTGAAGGGAACGAGTTTCCCTGATAAAGAAGAAGAAACAGACAGAGAGAGGCTTAGTTCCCACCTCCATTATCCGGGAATGTTCTGGGTTGCAAGGCTGTCCGACAGACCATCTTCCCAACCCCGGGCACTGTTTGTTCTAAGCAGCAACTAATCAGTAAGCACAACATGCCCCTTGGGGTCTCATAATTGATTCCCAGCTTTGCCATTGACCAGCTGTGGGGTTTAGGGAAGTTACTTAACCTCTCTGAGCAGCAGTGTCCTCATCTGGCAAATGAGGGTATGAATTGCACCCTTATAGGGTATGATGATTACAAGAATAACTGCCTCAGCTGGGCTTCCTCCACTTCCCCTCCCCCCAAAAGAGAAGAACGCAGGCAACCCTGATTGCATAGGAAGCTCTGAAATTGGCAGGGTGTGAAATGGAGGGGACAGGGAGGAATGTGCTGTAGCTTTTGTGTGTCCTTTTGTTTTAGAAACAGGCCTGTGCACATACCTTTGGGGACTAAGAGGCAGAGCCTGCTGCTTCTCACTTTCTCCCTCACCCTCCTGCGAAGATCTTCCCCAGTGGGACTGAACCCTATGAAGGAAGATGCTGGCAACAAGATGAACCCCAGTGAATGCCCGCTTTTCACCAGCTCTGTCTGCCCTCTCCCCTGCAGGGTGTGGGGTACTCAGGCTTCCTGTGGGACTCTGCAGCTGGAATGGAGCTGAAAGACACCCCTTTTCTGGAGAGCATGCCGGGCAACGGACATGGAAAACCAACGCATCCCAGCCCTTACCTCGCGCACTTCAAGGTACCCTGCTTATTGTCCATGACATCCCGCTTCTCTTTCTTAAAAGGAAAAAGAAGTTTCTGTTTCTAGAACTGTGGGCAATTGACACCTCCCCGTTTTGACTTGATTTTGGCTCTCAGGGTTGGGTCAGAACCTGTTTTTGGATTCCCATGGCCGGTGACCCTGTCCAGGGCAGGAACAGAAGGGGTCTGGAAGAACTCTCAGCCCCAATAACTGCTATGGCACCTGGGCAGGGAGACCAGATGGCTGGCTCCCAAACCTGACACACGTCAACATCACCTGGGAACATTTTTTAAATAAGCGATTCCTGGTCCCTACCCCAGACATAGGAGACATTGGTGGTTCAGTGGTAGAATTCTCGCCTTCCATGTGGGAGACCTGGGTTCGACCCTGGCCAAGGCACCCCATGCACAGCCACCACCTGTCCGTCAGTGGAGGCTTGCGTTGTTGCTATGATGCTGAACAGGTTTCAGTGGACTTCCAGACTAAGACAGACTGGGAAGAAAGACCTGATGTGGTCAGTTTCTGAAAATCAATCCATGAAAACACTATGGATCATGACGGTCCAATCCCATTGTGCATGGGGTCGCCATGAGTCAGGGACCAACTTAACAGCAGCTAACACCACCACCTCCAGACATATAGAATCAGACTTTCTGGACTAGAACCCAAGAATGTCTATTTTTTTTTCAAAAACACCCTCAGGGATCCTTCAGCCCTCTGGGCACTGGTGGATTAGAGGGCAGCAGATCTGCACTCAGGCCTGATTCCTTCATTACCAGGGAGAAGGATGAATTTTGTGGGGTCATTTAGGTGTGGAGGACCAGGGAGAGGGATTTAAAGCAGCCCTTACCCATGTGGGCGCCTCTGTCCGACAGAGTGTGGGAGCAGCTAAGCAGATTGATCTGAGCCGGGCTCACCGACCCTGCACGCCCTTGGGAAGCTTAATGAACCACGCAGCAGGAGGGAGGAGAAGCCAGGAGCAAAAACAAATCACCAAGTCCGCAATCATTGAACCCATGGCCCTTACCTGTGAAATCACAGGGTCAGGCAAGGGTGATCTTGGCCACAGCCCAGCAAGCCTATCACTGCAGGGCATTGAGACACCCTCCCTCCCCCATTTTGTGGGCTCCAGACAGGGCTTTGAACCTATTTGTTCCAGTTTGAACCCCTGCTGAGAATTTGCATTTCTAACAAGTTCCCAGGCATGCTAATGTTGCTGGTTAGGGACCGATTCTGAGAACCACTAGTAGAGCAGTGGTTCTCAAAATTTGTCATACATAAGACTCACCTGGGGATCTTGTTAAAATGCCAATTCTGATTCACTATATCCGGGGTGGAAATGCAAATTCTCAGCAGGGGTTCGAAGCAGAACAAACCAGTTCGAAGCTGTGGTTCCAGAGCAGTCCTGAGCCTGAGGGTTACCTCTGACCCCAGCAGGTTCTCTCTGGTAGGAGCAGGGGGCTGGGCCACATGGGGCAGCCCATGTGTTGGGGCTGTTGGGCTCTAGCACAAGCCCAGGGCCCTTCTCACCCTTGTCCCTGTGGTGCTGATGGGCGTGTGTCTGTGCACGTTCACACACGGGGGGTATTTGTGGTTACACCCATGGCGCCTCTCACACTGTAGCTCTAGTGTTGATCAGGGTGTGTGTACACACACACCTGGGCTTGTTTGTGGTTGCGCCCGTGAACACTCACACTTGGTAGCTGAAGTATTGATGGGGTTCTGTGTACACACACACACCTGGGGGTTTCTGATGGTTGTACCAGTGGAACTGACATGTCAGTCAGCCAAGTATCTTCTTTAAAACCCCCTAACCCCACACTGGTGCCCTTTTGTGTGGAGAGCAGCTGTACTGACCCTGACCAAGGAGGGCAGGAGCTAGGACCAGCCAGTGTCATTACAAGGCAGGCCGTGCACCCCTTTCTTCTTGGCAGTGTCTGATGTTTGTTGCCATGGCAAATAGAGGGGCAGATTATGAAACTCTGAGCAAGCTGAGTAACGCCGGGATGCTCAGGAGACAGATGCTGACTTCGTGGGTGCTCACCTGGATGCTGTGGCCTACAACCTGGGGTGCTGGTCTGTTGCATCCCCTGGGCTGCCAGTGCTCTGGGAGCCTTGTTCTTCACACACATGAAGCCAGGTGAAAGTGAACATCAGGGGCAGCATCCCCAGAGGACATAGAGCACAGAGAGGAGTCGGTGGAACGTGGGGGAGGAGGAGGCAGCAGGTCCTAGCTGGGGAGCCTCAAGGGGGACTTACAGGCAGCCACACGGGTAGGAGCCCTAAGTCTTTGTTAACAGCCAGCTGATGGAGCCATCTCCTCCTTCTTTATGGTTGCTTGGAAGGAAAAAAAAAGCCTTACATTTCCAAATACATCCAATTTACCAGGCCCTAAGGGGTCCCTGGAGCCCTGGTGGCACAGCGGTTAAGAGCTACGGCTGCTACCCAAAAGGTCAGCAGTTCGAATCCACCAGGCACCCCTTGGAAACTCTGCGAAGTAGTTCTACTCTGCCCTATAGCGTCGCTGTGAGTTGGAATCGACTCAACAGCAATGGGTTTGGTTTGTTTTTTTAAGGAGTCGCTGGAGCTCTGGTGGCGCAGTGGTTAAGAGCTTGGCTGCTAATCAAAAGGTCGGCAGCTTGAATCCACCAGCCGCTCCTTGGAAACCCTATGGGGCAGCTCTACCCTTCCTGTAGGGTCACTGTGAGTTGGAATTGACCTGATGACAATGGGTTTGGGTTGCTTTTTTTTTTTTTGAAAAAGGAATCCTTGGAGCCCTGGTGGTATAGTGACTAAGAGCTTGGCTGCTAATCAAAAGGTCAGCAGTTTGAATCTACCAGCCACTCCTTGGAAACCCTATGGGGCAGTTCCACTCTGTTCTATAGGGTCGCTATGAGTTGGAATCGACTCAACAGCAACAGGTTTGGTTTGGTTTTAAGAAGTCCCTGGAGCCCTGGTGGTGCAATGGTTAAGTATTTGGCTGCTGACCACAAGGTCAGCAGTTCAAATCCACCAGCCGCTCCTTGGAAACCTATGGGGCAGTTCTACTCTGTCCTGTAGGGTTGCTATGAATCAGAATCAACTCATTGCAGTGGGTTTGGTTTTTTTTTTTTTAAGGAGTCCCTGGGTGATACAAAAGGTTAAGCACTCAGCTAATAACCAAAAGGAAGGTCTGGTGAAATCAGAACTGAAAAATCAGCCATAGAAAACCCTATGGAGCACAGTTTGACACACATGGGGTTGCCATGAGTCAGAATTGACCTGAGGGCAACTGGTAGGAGGCCCTGGGTGACACAAATGGTAAGCACTCAGCTGCTAACCAAAAGGTTGGTGGCTGAAATCTACCCAGCGGTACCTCAGAAGAAAGGCCTGGCAAACTGCTTCCTTCTAAAAGGTCACAGCCTTGAAAACCCTATGGAGGGCAGTTCTGCTCTGCAACACGTGGGATCACTATGAGTCAGAATCAATTCACAGCAACTGGTTTGGTTTGGTTTTTAAGGAAGAGTAGGGGATACCAAAGGAGCCCTGGTGGCGCAGTGGTTAAAACACTTGGCAGCCAATGAAAAGGTCGGTGGTTCAAATCCACCATCCACTTCACAGGAGAAAGATGTGGCAGTCTGCTTCTGTGAAGATTAGAGCCTTGGAAACCCTTTGGGGCAGTTCTGCTCTGTTTTACAGGGTTGCTATGAGTCGGAATTGACTCAACAAGCAACGAGTTTGGAGGGGTACCATGTTGGGGGAGATCAAGATCAGTCTTGTTCCTGCAGGTGCCCTGGGAGAATCCTAAGATGATGCCCCCTGTGTGAAGCACTATCCTGTGAGTCGTGGGCTGGCCTTGGTTTTGTTTACCATCATCAACTTTGTGCAGAGGCTGAGTCGGTTGTAACTGAGACAGGAAACGTGAGCATCTGAGCCTTTTCCCATTTCTTTGTTTCCTGCCCAGGTGGGAAGTAATGACTTGACCCTTGTGAACCTTCACCTGGCAACCCTGACCCTCCCGGGGGCTGAGAATCCAAGCAAGAATCACACTGATGGCCTCCGCCTGGCCAGCTTCGCACAGACCCTGCAGGAGTCCCTGAAAGGTAGGAATGGTCTTCCTCACAGCTCAGCCAGCAGGGAGGGAGGTTCCTCTCCATGCTGTCTCCCTGATACATAGGCCAGGGTCTCCTATCTTTGAACATCTGTGCAGCCATGTATACAGGGGAGATAGACCCCTGCCTCTGATGGAGCCTGCCACCCCCTGCAACGTGGGCCTGACATATGGGTTCCAAGGTGGCTCTTCAGTCTCTTTCATGGGAAGGATTAGGGGGAAACACAAGTGGCAAAATGCTCCCCCATGACAACTTCTCCTGGATGCGCCTGTCTCAGGTGTACTACCCCAGAGTGCCACCTGGAGACTCACACATACTCTTAAGGCAAAGAGAGCTGGAGAGTGACGAGGGGAAATGTTAAATTCCTGAAGAGTAGTGACTTTGAGCTTTTCTCCCTGGTGGGATACCGATAGCACAGAAGGCGCCTGGAGCCTGTCAGAAAAGCTGGATTTTCCCCTCAGCTTCTTTGCTAGCCGTGGGACCTCAGGCAGGTCACTGAGCCACTTCCAGCCCCCATCTGTAAACGGATGACACTAACTCACAGAACTGTCTAGGGGGTTCACTCAGACACGTCTGTGGAAGTACCCAGCACGTGGAGGGTGCTCAGTGCACCTGAACTGACTCTAAAAATGTTGAAGAATTAAGAGAGCATTGAAAAGAGCAGGACTTGCAAAGAAGGGAGGGCTCTTCACTTTCTAGGCCCTGCCCCTGATGAACAGAGAAGGCTTTCTGTGCTCGATTTACTCGTTAAATCAAAGGGAAAAGTTGACAAGGCTGTTAGGACTATGACGTTTGCAATTTGGCTTGATTTTCCAAGCACTGGCCTCCTCTAATTGAGGAGGTCTGAAAGTCTTTTCTGTATTCTCGCGTCTTGACCAGTATCCATTGCGCCACCAAAGCTTCTTCTCTAGCTTCTTAAGGCTTCTCTTGGTCGGTTGGCCCTGCGCAGTGGATGGTTCATGAAGATTCAGCTACAAAAATATTTTAGTCCAAGTCCAAGCTTACATTTTTGAGCCAGGACATGCTGTGAGCAGTGTTCATCTTAAATCATGAGTCCTTGTCCGTGGGTGCCACAAACTTTTGCACTCAGCTACATACTGAAAGGTTGACAATTCAAATCCACCAAGTGGCACCATGGAAGAACGGCCTGCCTGGCAATCTGCTTCCCTAAAGATTACAGCCAAGAAAACCCTATGGAGTGCAGCTCTACTTTGAAACACATGAGGTCACCATGAGTTGGAATCCACTCAACAGCAACGGGTTTGGTGTTGGCTGTGGTGGGCTAAAAACGTCAGAAAAGAGTGGTGCTCCACCCAAGCAGGGGAAATTGTTCACCCACAGGTAGTCTCTAACCTGTTAGGAAGAATGGCTTTATAGCTTTTAGGATCTGTGGACATTTCTATTGTTCTTGATCCCAAGCTTTTCCTTTTCTTTTCATGGAAGCACAAAGGAAAGAAGTCTGTTCCTACTTCTCAGAGAGCCTCAGGCAGTCACTGGCTGTTCTGATATCCAGGGAGTGGTCAGGCTTCTGCCAAACAGTCTGGGCAGGTTGTTGTCTGAAGTTGCTGGGGGACTATCAGTTCACAGCCTGGCCTGGCCTTGACTGCCCAGGTGTTCTCTACATCCGCTGCCTGTAACTAATATGCAATTAATCGTTAACTGATGATACTATGGACTCGAGGGTTCAGGATGTGTTCTGGCAGCCCACGGTGCAGCCCAGGTAAATAGATTAACAGAGGTTTTTCAGCTCAAACAAAGCTAAGCCTTCATTCCATTGGCTTTTCTCCAATGGCTTCTCTCCAAGCAAACAGAACCGATTTGATTAGCAAACTCTGGGCCTCTCCGCCTTGCTCGGAAGTGTATGCAGCTGACCTCAGTGGAGAGTGTGCCAGTCCCCTGGTGAAATTTTCTTCTTTCAGACGCTGCCACAGCTTGAGGAGAAGGTCTTACTCTGAGAACTCAGCAAGAGTAAAGCATGGCGCATAGTACTGCTTACATCTGGGTAGATAATCCCTCAGTGGGGACCAGTCCCTGCTGGTGTCACTGGCACTTATTATAAGGATGCTGAGGAAATCAGCCCCGGTCATTCTCCCCTCACTTCTGGGAACCAAGGGAATGAGAAAGGAGCCTGCCCAGACTGATGGCTTCTAGGAGGCAACTCCAGGGACCCCTCAGAGGCAAGAGTGACCCCGGAGTCATCACAGATGCTGATTTCACTGAAAGATGAGTCTTAGGGAATCTGGATGCACCCACTTATGAAAAGAAAGAACTGCTGTCTTCATTCGTAAAGTTTCACAGAGCTGGGTTTACTGACGCTCAGCGCTTGCATTTCTCCTGATTTTTTTGGCCTGAACTCTTTACAGGTCTGCATCCCAGTGAACACCTCCTTCATTCTGTGGGAACCTCTCCTCGGGCTTTTAAAACCTTTAGTTATTCAAGAAATGTAGCATCTTTCCCTTCTTTCTTTCCAACACCAATTCCACCCTTGTTCTGAGGTATTCCTCCTGCCTAATTTATCCACTTATTCAGCACATATTTATCGAACGTCTCCTATGTGGCAGGCACTGTTCCAGGCACTTGGGATACTGCAAGGAACAGCAAGCAGCCTGTGTCCATGGGTTGCGTCCATTCCAGCTCATTGTTAAGAGCCCTGGATCTGAGAGCTGCCTGAGTGGCTCTGGGAGCCTCAGCTTCTTACCTGCACAGTGGAGTTGTAGTCACTCAGTGGTGTGCTGTCAAGGAAGGACTCAGAACAGAGAGGCTCAGGGGATGGTCGTTGGTGGTGGCCAGGTATGAGTGTGATCGTTAGTATTATCCTCAAGTCACCTTTCCTGTTGGAAGTTGGGATTCATTTCTCAAGACAGCTCAGGCTCACCCTGACTTGAGTGCCAAGGTTGTTATGACATAAAGTGAGGTGTACAAATACACCTCTGGTGACCATACTGTCAAGCTGCAATAAATGCCTTTCATCCTATTGCTTTTTGTCCCTCTCTTTGCCGTGGAGGAGGGTGTCATCTGGAATACATAAGTGCCCTCTGGTGGTAGCTTTTGTCATTTCACTGAAGATTTCTTTCCCTCTAGCCGTTATTCCCGAGCCTTGGTGGTGCAGTGGTGAAGAGCTCGGCTGCTAACCAAAAGGTCAGCAGTTCAAATCTACCAGCCACTCCTTGGAAACCCTACTCTGCCCTATAGGGTCCCAATGAATCGGAATCAATTCAAAGTCAACGGGTTTGGTTTCTGGTAGCCATTGTTCCATCAGGAGCCCTGGTGGTGCAGTGGTTAAAGTGCTTGGCTGCTAACCAAAAGATTGCAGTTTGAACCTGCCAGCCCCTTCGCAGGAGAAAGATGTGGCAGTCTGCTTCCATAAAGGTTTATAGCCTTGGAAATCCTATGGGGCAGTTCTACTCTGTTCTGTAGGTTCACTGTGAGTAGAAATCGACCCAGCGGCACACAACAACAAGCCATCATTCCACCTGTTGGTTTGTCGTACTGTGGTAACATGCATGTTGTTGTGATGCTGGCAGTTATGCCACTGATATTTCAAATACCAGCAGGTCTCAGCAGAGCTTCCAGACTCAGAGACAAAGAAGAAAGGCTTAGAAATCTATTTCCAAAAGTTAGCCAGTGAAAACTCTATGGATCACACCAGAATATTGTCCGATATAGTGCTGGAAGATGAACCCCCTAGGTTGGAATGCACTTAAAATACACAGCGGTGGCAGCAATGGGCTCAAGTCATGCCAGCAGTCATGAAGATGGTGCAGAACCAGGCAACGTCTTGTTCCTTTGTACACGGGATCAGCAGGATTTGGAGGCTGACTCAACGGCAGCTAACAGCAAGCAGCAGCCATTATTACTGAACTGTATCTGGAACAAGGAACAAGCTTTCCAAGTGTGTCAGATACATGTGGTCCTACTTTAGAACTGTTTTCCTTAATGTCTCCCTTGCAAGATGTAACAGAAGCGCCACTCCCTGTGGTGATGAGACTACCCTGAAGTGAACCTCACAGGGAGACGTGTTGGACGGGGCTTATGGGAATCCTAGCTGGGGCCTGTCTTTTTCTTTTTAGATTTTCTATTTGTTTTGTTTGGAAAATTCTTACTTTGTAATTATCCCAATTACTAGTGTAAATCAGGCCATGGGAGAAATGTTTAAAATACTTTAAAGAGAAAACCTTTCCATGTTGGCCCTGAAATCACCTTGTAGGCCTCATTTATACACAGATAATTAACCTCTGCTGGAGCCCTGGTGGGGCAGTGGTTAAGCGTTTGGCTGCTAACCAAAAGGTCAGCAGTTCAAATCCACCAGCCGCTGCTTGGAAATCCTATGGGGCAGTTCTACTTTGTCCTATAGGGTTGCTATGAGTCAGAATCAACTTGATGGCAACAGGGTTTTTGTTTTTTTTTTTTTTGGATGTGGGGAATGTCTCTTGGGTAAATTCTTATTAATCCAGTTTAAGGAACTTGAAGGGAAGGGACCTGAATGTGACGTGAGATGCCCCGTACCAGGCACCTACAACAGCTCATCTAGTCCTTGCAACAACCTGTGGAAATTGATTGTTCTCCCCATTTTATGGACAAAAAAGCTCCCCCAAGTTCACAGCACTGGTGAGTACAAAACCAGGATTCCATACCCAGAGCCCTCAAGCTGCTTTGTTTTAGAACAGGGGCCAAGAGCCACTGTTTTCAAATATGCTACTCTTCAGGGTTTGGTTTTGTTTTGGTTTTAACGGTGCACTGTGACTGCTCTGGATCTCAGAAGAGACTGAAACATGCTCTTGAATGTACAGCAGCTGACGCAAAAGGAAGAAATGATGAAGTGAAATTGTTGAACAGAAGATTTCAAAAGGCAGCTTGAGAAGACAAAGTAAAGTATTCTAATGAAATGTGCAAAGACCTGGAGTTAGAAAACAAAAGGGAAGAACACACTCAGCATTTCTCAAGCTGAAAGAACTAAAGAAAAAATTCAAGCTTCAAGTTGCAATATTCTA